TTGGTTTCGGGCGAGGTGCGGGGGGCCCATGCTTAGGGTTCCCCAGTTGTTGGTTGCCTGCGTGGCGTCGTTGCCGCCGCCTTCCGTCCCAAGCGTTCATGCGGTAAACAGGGGCATCCATAAATGGATGCCCCTGTGCCGCGGCCCCTTTCCTCCTTTTCATCCCGTCGCCATCTTTTCGTTCGCGCGGAAGGCTTCCGTGAAATGAGTGGCTCTGTTGTGGATATTGTTGTGGTTCCGTGGGGTTTGCTTGTTGTCCCTTCTTGGGTTCCCTTCTGAACCACCGACATTATGTTCCCCGTCCTCCCTTTGCTCCTGCCCCTCCCCGCTCCTCCCTTCCCGCGGTCCGCGCCCTAAGGGGGATGAGGGAAGTGAACAACCAAAACAGCACAATGAACAACCACATAATCAAACAAATCAAAGACCGACGGCTGGAAAACCAAAAAACAAGAGGACAAACCAAACAACGTTACAACAACAAAATATTTTAATATTTCGACCACCCCCACCGCGCCTCTCCCACTAAGTGTTTTGTTTGTTTGTTTGTTTGTTTATGCTATAGTTATAAATAAAATAAGTCAAACAAGTTAAACCGGTTTGCGTTTTTTCCTTGTGTTTGTTTGGTGTTCCAGCCGTCGTTATTTGATGCATTTTTTTGTATATATATATATATATATCGCAGTGCCAGAAGGACGACTCCAACGTAATCCGCCCATACAACGGATTGTGTCGCACCCCAAACAGAAGGAATCCCTGCATGGATCCTCTACAGGGGAAGGATATTAATGACGAAAAAATAGCTCGCGGAGGACGATTCGAGAAGCACGAGAAGGACGACATTGAGGACGACAGAGGAAAAGGACGACCAGACGAAGGAGGAGGGCGACGACGACGAGGACGACGACGAGGAGGAATCGCAAGCTTTTGAAGGCCGAAAGGCCGCCATACCCATCCAGTCTGGAGCTGATGAGGAGGAGGAAAAGCCCACTCCCAATCACCCCGAAATCCGAACTTTGGCCTCCACGTGCCGACGCCAAAGGAATACGTTCAGGAGCTCCCCTTCTCCCCTCACCTCCCGCACCGTCCCGTCCGTTGCCACCGATTCCTGTTCCTTCTCTTCTGCTGTATCCATGCCTCTCTCCGCCTCTCCCGTCCTCTCTTCCTCCCGGGACGGCCCAGACGCGAAGTTCAAAAACAGTTTTGGATTCGGAAGGTAAGGTGCTTCACAGTTTTGGCTGCAAGGTGCGACAAACTTGACATGCCACCTCCTCCCGGAGCATCATCATTATCAGCATCATCGTCATGGTCATCACCATCCTCACCATCATCATCACCATCATCATCTTCATCCTCATCTTCATCAGCACCACCACCACCACTACCATCATCATTATCACCATCGGCAACACCGTCGTCATCCGCATCATCTTGTTCTTCTTGATCGGCAAAAGCGCTAAAACAAGGCTACGGTTTTTTAGCGTTTTCAGCTCCGTCGCTGGGGATCTTTCTTGCCGAAGGCTGCTCCTCGTCTGCACTGCCGTTTTCGCTCCCGCTCTCCCATTCCTGCCGCCTCCTGTTCCTCCCCGATCCGCGCGCAGAGCGCAGAGCTAAGAACGCACCATCAACGCCCCGGCACCGGCGCGCAACAGGCCCGGAGGCCCCGCGACCAGCCAGCAGCGACGGCCAGAGAAGAGCAAAAGCATGTTATTCAAGTGTAGAGCGGACTGGACGCAAGGAGAAGGAAGTAAAGACGTCGTATACAGCAATATTGAATGAAGCAATAACGTGAGTGGAGAACGCCAAGACACTGAGCTCAAGCGCAAAACAGACGATGGTGGTTTTGGCGTTTTTAGTTTGTTGGTGGAACGTACAAACGCTAAAGCAATGCTTCCCAACACGCCGAGGGAAAAACGGCAAAACACGCCCAGGGCATTTCAAGAAAAGTAACGATCATAATCAGCATCATGATCGTCGTTATCGTCGTCGTCATCGCCATTACAATCACCATCACCATCACTACCATGATTATCACCACCATGTACCGTCACCATCCTCATCATAATCTCCCTCATCATCATCATCATCATCATCATCAGCATCATCATGATCAGCACCATCAGCATCAGCATCACCATCATCATTATGATCATCATCAACATCATATTCAGCACCATCATCATCCTCGCCATCATCATCATCATCATCATCATCATCATCAGCATCAGCATCGCCCTCGGTATCGGCATCGTCATCATCATCATCATCAGCAGCATCATCATCATCGTCATCATCATCACCATCGTCATGAACACCATCACCACCGTCACCACCCCCAGCATCATCATCATCATCATCATCATCATCATCATCATCATCATCATCGTTGTCGTCGTCGCTGCCGCCATCGCCAAGATCGTCGCGATCATCATCCCCATCATCAGTGGCCTCTGGCCTTGGGCGTAATTGAACCGATCCGTGGAAGACACATGCAGCACTACCACCACCATCGCTATCGTGTCTGCCTTCCTCTCCCCATTAGCAGCCTGTAAATCCGGCCAGCCGAGCTCGGCCAGGCGAATTTCGGCCGGCTGATCTCGGCCAGGCTGAGCGCGGCCAAGCCTAATTCGGCCAGTGCCGAGCTCAGCCTGACCGAGTCGGGATTCAGGAGATGGGGGTCAATGCAAACGGGGGTCAGTCAGAGCGCCAGATCTTGCAGGATCCTGCAGAGCCAGGGGTGCACTGACCTGGGTTTGGGTGCAGCATCCTGCAGGATCCTGCATGATCTTGTAGGATTCTTCAGAGCCTGACTGACCCGGGCTTGGATTGACCGGGACCTGTCGATCCCCGACCGAGTTCACTTGGCCGAGCTCAGCATGGCCGAGTTTCGCCTGGCCGAGTTGTTCCCCGTCTGCCCCCTGCCCCTCCTTGCCACCATCCCCTCCCTGCCCTTCCCCCCGCGGCCGCGCCTCGACCATCGTCGACATCATTGCCGTCTTCGTCGCCGCCACCAACGATCGTCACCATCATCATCACCATCATCATAGGCCTCTCTGGCCTGGACGTGATGGCATCGATCCCAGGAATTACGCTACCGAGGAACCCCACATACTTATACTATGGCTGGAGTGATGAGAGCTGAAGTGAAGCATGTGAAAATGATGTTGGTGGCCGTTGCCCCGCCGATACCGCTGTGCCCTGGACGACCGTCACGGCTAGCGGCCGCGGTGAGAGACCACCCCCTGCGCACCCCCTTATGGTGTCGAGAATATGCCATGCCTGCTGTGCCCTGGACGACCGTCACGGATAGCGGCCGCAGTGAGAGACCACCCCTTGCGCACCCCTTATGGTGTCGAAAATATGCCATGCTGCTGTGCCCTGGACGACCGTCACGGATAGCGGCCGCGGTGGGAGACCACCCCTTGCGCACCTCCTCTTGTGTCGAGAATATGCCATGCCTGCTGTGCCCTGGACGACCGTCACGAGTAGCGGCCGCGGTGAGAGACCACCCCCTGCGCACCACGAGAATATGCCATGCCTGCTGTGCCCTGGACGACCGTCACGGATAGCGGCCCTTATGTGTCGAGAATATGCCATGCCTGCTGTGCGGCCTGAGACGACCCCTGGTGTCGACGACCGTAGCGGCCGCGCGCGTGGTGTCGAGAATATGCCATGCCTGCTGTGCCCTGGACGACCGTCACGGATAGCGGCCGCGGTGAGAGACCACCCCCTGCGCACCCCCTATGGTGTCGAGAATATGCCATGCCTGCTGTGCCCTGGACGACCGTCACGGATAGCGGCCGCGGTGAGAGACCACCCCCTGCGCACCCCCTATGGTGTCGAGAATATGCCATGCCTGCTGTGCCCTGGACGACCGTCACGGATAGCGGCCGCGGTGAGAGACCACCCCCTGCGCACCCCCTATGGTGTCGAGAATATGCCATGCCTGCTGTGCCCTGGACGACCGTCACGGATAGCGGCCGCGGTGAGAGACCACCCCCTGCGCACCCCCTATGGTGTCGAGAATATGCCATGCCTGCTGTGCCCTGGACGACCGTCACGGATAGCGGCCGCGGTAAGAGACCACCCCCTGCGCACCCCCTATGGTGTCGAGAATATGCCATGCCTGCTGTGCCCTGGACGACCGTCACGGATAGCGGCCGCGGTGAGAGACCACCCCCTGCGCACCCCCTATGGTGTCGAGAATATGCCATGCCTGCTGTGCCCTGGACGACTGTCACGGATAGCGGCCGCGGTGAGAGACCACCCCTTGCGCACCCCCTATGGTGTCGAGAATATGCCATGCCTGCTGTGCCTGGGCGACCGTCACGGATAGCGGCCGTGGTGAGAGACCACCCCCTGCGCACCCCCTATGGTGTCGAGAATATGCCATGCCTGCTGTGCCCTGGACGACCGTCACGGATAGCGGCCGCGGTGAGAGACCACCCCCTGCGCACCCCCTATGGTGTCGAGAATATGCCATGCCTGCTGTGCCCTGGACGACCGTCACGGATAGCGGCCGCCGTGAGAGACCAGCCCCTGCGCACCCCCTTACGCTGCTGTGCATGTGCTGTGCTGTGCTGTGCTGTGCTGTGCTGTGCTGTGCTGTGCTGTGCTGTGCTGTGCTGTGCTGCTGTGCTGTGCTGTGCTGCGTGAAGAGGAGGAGGGGAGGTGAGGAGACGCGGGTGCGCCGCGGCAGGGAAGAAAACCACAACCCCACGAAACATGTGGGGAATAACAAGACAGCATCGTTATCGTATCGTCCTGGTCCAGTGCAGGAGTTTGCCTAACGAGCGCAGGTCGGTTCCCTCTCGGCTCCTGGCCCACGTGGCCACGCTTTGAGTCGCACGACGGGGAGCGGAGCTAACCCGCCCATCGCGGATCAACGAGGAACACACACACACACATTCATCATCGTACCTCCCTCCCCTCCCCTCCCCCCTCCCGTCCCTCCCTGCCCTCCCTCCCTGCCCTGCCCCCCCTTCCTGCGGCCGCGCCCCGAGGAGCCGCGCGCCCCGCGAGGCCGTGGCGGCGGCCGAAGAGCTCCAGCAGCCCCCCCAAGTGCAGGCGGGCCCGCCGCGCTCGCAACTCGGAGCACTCTCATGCTCCACGCCTCACTCCTCCTCCTCCTCCCTCCTCCTCTCCTCCTCCTCCTCCTCCTCCCCTACATCTCCTCCTCCGACAGCTCCTCCTCCCTCCCTCCTCCTACCTCCTCCTCCTCCTCCCGACAGCCTCCTCCTCCTACAGCTCCTCCTCCTCTCTCTCCCTCCCCCTCCTCCTCCTCCTCCTCCTCCTCCTCCTCCTCCTCCTCCTCCTCCTCCTCCTCCCCCCTCTTTTCTTCCTCCTCCTCCCCCTTCTCCTCCTCTTCCTCATCCTCATCCTCCTCCGTAGCGATACTTGCTCAATATGCGCAAGCTTCGTTGGGAAGCAAAGTGGATACCGCCAATCCGCGGCTAGTTGCTGATTTCTTTCGGGCGCGGAGAGTGCCCACCACCCGACACCGCTTACTCAATGCTGCTCTTAGTCTGGGGGAGACGTGCCTTGCCGGCAGTGTGGTTCAGGGAGTGCGATGGGGCGAACAGACCGTGCTGATGAAGCAGGGGAATGACTCTGCAATTGATGTTTTGATACGGGGACAAGGGAGAAGCTGGGCACTCACTCCCACAGGGAGAGTTGTTTCAAGTGTGGCGTGGCCACGGGCAATGCATACGGTGGAGCAGCGACGCCGACGTCCACGTCTCCAAGTGCGTCTCTGCGGGCAGCACCCTGACGTCAGGAGCGGATGGCTGGCAGAAAAGAATGGATATGCTGGGAACCAAGCTCATGGAGGCAAACGCGAAGCTGCAGAGCCAGGCTGACGCCAACTTTGGGGCAACGATCCACAGTTCCGGCAACATGACGCAATCGTTGGTTAAACGATTTGGGGGAGCTTGGGGGGAGTTTCAAGCATACGCAAGGGCTTTGGAAGCATACGCCATCAGTGTAGAACGAAAGCTCAACGAATTTGGTGCGCTGGTTACTGAGAAAGTTATGTATTATTTGGACTCTGCCTGGCGACACAAGAGCGACTGACGATGCCTGGATGGGTTCAATTCTGAACGTTCCTCATGCCTGAATCTCAAGGGTGTCCAACAAAAGTGTGCTACAATAGGCGGGGCCGACATTTTCCCCCTGACAGGTGACACAGCTTGGTTAGGACCGCGCGGAGCAGCTGACACGATTTGGTTAGGACCGCCTGGATCAGCAGACAAGTTAGTTAACCCAGCTTCACAAAAGAAAGTACAGTGGCCAGATATTGCAGCATCAGCTCATTTTGTTTGGTAAACTTGGCCGCGGCAGCGACGCGGACGTGCTCCGAAAATTAATTTTCCAACCAGGCAGCGCGAGGCCGATCACTGATACTCTTCCCCGGAAGCGTGGGCGCCCCAGGCACGATTGGGCGAAATGTTTGTTCAATCAAATCCCGATCTGTTTCGAGTATGATTCTGCCCTTTCCACGTGCGTCGCAGACAACCGACAATGGTGTCGTTTCGTTACAGAGTTTGTTGAAGAAAACGAGCCATGCGGCATCTCTCTTGTATTTAACTGTTACTTCACAGACGTGATGCGCTGTCCTATGCTGTCTGCTTCGCAATCGTGAGGCGTTCCGTTCGTTTTCTGCGTTGCAGTTGCGATGCGGTTTGCTCTCTAGCTCCCGACGCGGCGCCAATTTTCGCATTCATGTGCCCGCTCGCCGTGGCAGAGGCAGGGCCCGCCAGGAAAGCGCAAATGGGCGCATGGCTTTTTGACTTAACTTGACTTGCCAGTTTCCGTCGGCATTTGATTTTCGTCGTTCTTCTTGCAGGCATCAGGACAATATCTCACGTTATGTGTTGCTTTCCCCCTCCTCCTGGGGCCGTGCGATTCGGCGGCGCACGATGCCCGCGCGAGCCGGCCATGCATGCGCGAGCCCAATCCCCAGTTTCTGGCAAACACAGTTTTCCTTAAATATTTAGAGGGGGGAGTTGGGCGCCGAATGGAAGCTCCTGGTTACTGAGCAGGGAAAAGAAACACACCGATTTCAGCGCGAGTGTGATTGTGAGGGTTGTGATCACGATGTGGAGAGAACAGGAGAGAGAAAGAGGGAGAGAGAGAGCGAGAGCGAGAGAGAGGAAAAGAGATATAGAGAGAGAGGAAACGAGAGAGAGAGAGAGATATGATGCTGCTGCACATGCTTCTGCAGATGATGCAGGTGACGATGATGCTGGTGATGATGTTGCTGATTATCAGATGGTGTTGCTGATGATGGTGGTGGTGGTGATGCTGCTGCTGCTGCTCATGATGATGTTGCTTCAGCCAATGATGATGTTGATGCTGGTGCTGGTGATAATGATGGTGATGACGATGCCGATAATTCTGAGGATGCTGATGATGCGGCAGCTGATGTTGACGAGGACGATGATGATGTTGATAATGCTGTTGGTGATGATGCCGCTGACAATGATCTCGATGATGGTGAAGGTGATGATGATGATGATGATGGTCACGATGATGCTGATGATGCTGATAAAGAAACGTTGATTGTAGCGGTGAATATTGTGATGCTGATAATGCTTGTGTTGACGGTAGTAATGTTGTTGATGTTGGTGATGGTGATGCTGGTGATGATGATGATGCTGATGATGATGATGATGATGGTGATGGCGATGATGATGAACATTCTGATGCTGCTACTGATGAAGATCCGCATCGTGATTGTGGTGCTGCTGATGGAAATGACGATGCTGATGATGGCTTCGATGATGCTGATGATGATACTGGTCATGCTGATGTGTATGATGATGGGAACGACGACGACGTCGACGATGATGATGATGATGATGATGATGATGATGATGATGATGCGTATGCTGCTGATGGTGATGATGGTGCTGATGATGCTGCTGCTATTGATGATGATGCTGGTGATGCTGGCGATGCTGATGATGATGCTGACGACGCCGATCTTAATGCTGATGATGCAGATGATGTTGATGGTGATGCTGATGAGGTTGTCGCTGATGATGATGCCGATGACGATACTGATGATGATGCTGATGATGATGCTGATGATGATGATGATGATGATGATGATGCTGATGATGATGATGATGATGATGATGATGATGATGATGATGATGATGCTGCTAATGATGACGTCGAGGTTGACTATGATGATGCTGCTGCTTATGATGCTGATGATGATGTTGTCGATCCCGATGGTGTTTCGATGTTCAGGAGAACTAGGAAGAGGAGCAGCTGCAGCAGCTGGACGAGCCAGAGGAGAGGAATCGGCACGAGCAAGAGCGGGATCAGACCAAGGATATGAGGAGGAGGAGGAGGAAGAAAAGGAGAAGGCAGAGGAGGAACAAGAGGAGGAGGATGTGCATGAGGAGGAGGAGGAGGAGGAGGAGGAGGAGGAGGAAGAGGAGATGGACGATGGCGACGAGTCGGAGGAGTGATGACGGGGTCGGGAAGGAGGTGAAGGAGGAGGAGGAGGATGTGGAGGGCAGGAGAAGGAGAAGCACGGGATGAAATGGATGATGATGATGATGATGATGATGATGATGATGATGATGATGCTGATGCTGATGCTGATGCTGATGCTGATGCTGATGATCCTGATCCTGATGCTGATGCTGATGATGATGCTGGTGCTGGTGCTGATGCTGATGATGGTGATGATGATGATGATGATGATGGTGATGATGCTGATGATGATGATGATGATGATGATGATGATGATGGATGATGGGTGATGGATGATGATGCTGATGATGGATGATGATGATGATGGTTGTGGTGGTGGTGGTGATGGTGATGGTGATGGTGATGATGATGATGATGATGATGATGATGATGATGATTATTGTGGTGGTGGTGGTTGTGGTGATTATGATGATGATACAAAGATGATGATGATGATGCTGATGATGATGCTGCTGATGATGATGAGGGTGAGGATTATGATGAGGCTGAGGCTGAGGATCAGGATGAGGTTGAGCATCAGGATCAGGATCAGGATGAGGATGAGGATGATTCTGAGGATGAGGGTGATGGTGAGGATGATCATGAGGATGAGGACGATACTGGTGATGGTGATGGTGATGATGTTGATGGCTGATGATGATGATGATGATGATGATGATGATGATGATGATGATGATGATGACGATGCTGATAATGAGGATGGCGATGCTGATGATGATGATGATGATGATGATGATGATGATGATGATGATGGTGGTGGTGATGGTGATGATGATGATTATGATGATGATTATAGTGATGACGAGGAGGAGGAGGTGGAGGAGGAGGAGGAGGTTCAACCACTGCGTCCCTTTCTCTTGATGCAGGTCGGCACGCGAAGGCCCAAGCCCACAAACGCACTACGTGCAAGGGTCCTCCCCGCCCTTCCTTTGGCTCCCCCTCCGAGGTCGCCCGGGCCTCCCCCTGGCCGATTAAAACAGCTCCAGGTTGCACGAATGATCGACAAGAACGGCCCGACAAGGCCACAGGACTAAAGCTTACTAGATAGAAACTGAGCGTGCGCGAAGCGCGCATGATTCCTAGTATGTGCGTGTATATATATGTATATGTTTATGAATATGTATATATACACATAAATTTATATATATATATATATATTTGTACATCTGTAAATATATGTATGTATGTATGTATGTATGTATGTATCTATATATAGATATGTTTAGTGGCCGTAGGCTCATCGTGCCACCGTGCTTGAGTTGTACACCAGAGGCCTCTTGGATGCCTGTGGAGGTACACATTATGTACACATATAAGGTCCTTCCCGCTCACTGACCCACTGGCTCCTCCCTAATCGCTTCCCCTGAGCCCGAGGCAGGGCTACCCCGCCGCGGCCGGCGCGCTACTGTCGCGGGCCGCGGTTGCTGTTTCAGGCAGAGGCGCCTCGTGGCACGGGAAGTTTTCCTCCCGCCCCCTCTCACCCTCCTTCGGCGGGGCAGAGGCAGTATTCGAGGAGCGAACAAGGTAATGGACGTACTTTTAGAACATTCCGTGCGGATTTGTTGGATCCGCGCTTGGGCCACTCTGGCGGCGCCTCTGGCGCTGCTCCTGACGCGCTCCCCGCGCCAGGGAGGGGGCCCAGCGCCGATCCAAGAAATTCGTGCGAGCCTCAGAGAAATCATGACTCTTCAGCCGTTGGTTGTTCTTCTCGTGGTGAATGACACGTAGCTGTGTAGAGTTTACCAGTTGGGAAACGCCAGGCCTTCGGATCCAAAACGAGGAAGCAGCCCGCCGGCAGACCCGCAACGGCGGCGTGTCGCCGATGATCTCTGCCTCCCGATCCCTTCGTCTCCTCGGCCTCCTTCGCTCGCGGTCCCTTGTTGCGGGCAGTGCGGCCGTCGGGCGTGTCCCGCTACAGGAGGAATGTTCAACAATAGTCAAAAAATAGTCAGGGGACGATTTTTTGACTATTTTTGCGAATTTGAGGGGTATTTCTTGAGTGTTTTTGATTTTTCGCCCAAAATCCTTCTGTAGGGGGACATGCCCGACCTAACGCTAGCTAGATGCAGCGTTACTGGTCTTAATTCAGACCCCATCAGAGTTCTCAGTAGTGGCGGCGCTCGTCCATACTGGGCTGTGGTAACGTCATGAGCTCCATGAGCTTCGTTCGTTCGTTCCTCCGCTCGCAGTGGAGACATGTCCTGAGATGTTTCCCCTTGTTCGGCTTCCCGAGGGCCCTCGCTTAGCCCCTCGACCGTCGGATAAAAGGCTACTCGGGGGCTTCAGCGCGGTTGCAACATTGCCGCGGCGCGTGTCGCAAGCATGTCAGGCCTGTGCGAGAGTCGTTTCTGTATGAGGTGAAGGCCCTCTTCTTGAGGGTCGCAGCCAGTAGCGCTACCACCACATGTCACAGTGTCAGCATCCACGGCACTATCTATTACCAAGCTCAATCTCGGACCACATCACATCCTTGGAGAAGCCATCGGATCCTGAGGATATTATGACCCTTGGAGCCAGTCCCCCCCTTCCGCCTACCAATGGAGGAGGGGAGCAGGGTGAAGGAGAAGGATGAGGCGTCTCGCCTCGCGTTCCGGTGTTGCCGCTGTGCGTGGCGCGGGAGGGGAGTTTCGCAGAGGGGGCGGAGGATGAGGAGGGCAGGGTAGAGGGTGGTGAAGAGTGAGCGCCTCGGATCGCAAAATGAGGAGGAGGAGGAGGAGGAGGAGGAAGCGAGAGGGAGGAGGGAGGAGGGTGACAATGAGGAGGAGGGATGAGGGAGGTGGCTGCGGACACGATGGCATTGTCGCGAAGGCGTGTTGAGTATGCCTCGCTCACGGGCCCGCAGGGATGAGTCTCCAACGGCACTCTGCCGGTCAGAGCGAGCACAGTGTGCCACGGGTAGCCTCGCTTGGATGGGGCCGCAAATCCACTGGGAGAGCAGATCACCGCCCCACGGAGGAGGCAGGAAGGGGGAGAGAAAAGAAAGGAGAGAGGGGGGATGCAGGAGCGGGAAGAATCGGGGAAGGGGACGGCTCCCTGCACCCCTAGGGGCGTGTGGCCCCGCACTGCTCGCAGCTGGTCCGCTAGAGTAAGGCAAAGAACACCTGACCATGGATCAGTTATGCGTCGTATTCTTCTCTGCTATGGGACGGCTCGGGAGCCAGCCCCACTGCTGGAGGAGGCACAGCAGGACAGGGCACGCAGCCTTGAAGGCATGCTGAATCCAAGAGGACGTTGGCGTCCCCAAACACAATTGGACGATCAAGTCCAGAGGGCGGAATCTGTTGCGATCAGTGTTGCATCGAGCTGGCATCTTTTGCCCGATGCTTTTCTGGATGTTCAACCACGCACTCAGCAAGTGCCCTTCGCAAAGCACAGAAATCATCCTTCTCCACGGCTGAGTACGTGTGTCCGGTACCGCTGCCCATGCCAGAAGCGCCGCGGCATCACGGGCCCTGCGCAGCCGGCGGGCTGCAACCAGTCGCCTGCCCCCTGTTGCGAGATGGGCTTTGCGTCAAAACAAAGGAGGACGAGTGAGGAGGGAGGACAAGGAGTTTCCACGGTTCGGTCGAGTCGGTCGGTTGCGTCGCCGCAGCCGGTTTTGTTCGGCCCGTTCGGTTTGATCCATTGTTGCGTTGTTGCAGTTGCGTTGCGTCGTTCTCGACTTCTTCTGGCTGGAAGATTCGGTTTCGGTCTGCCTCGGTTTCGCTGTTGGTTCGGGCGGTTTTCCGTTGCGTTGTCGCCGTGGTCGGCCGTGGAGAGCAAAAGGACCACGCACGCCACCTGCCCGCCCCGAGACTCTCCAAGATGAAAAAGAGAGAGAGAGAGAGAGAGAAATAACGAAGGACAGAGAGAGAGAGAGAGAGAGAAAAAAACGATTCGCTCTGCGCTGCAGGTGTTGTTACCGAGAGGCCATTACTCGCGCGAGTGTTGGCCTCTCGGTAACAGCGCTTGTAGAGGAAGGAGGGGGGGAGGAGGAGGAGGAGGAGGAGGAGGAGGAGGAGGAGGAGGGAGGAGGAGGAGGAGGAGGAGGAGGAGGAGGAGGAATGATCCTGAATATTAGCAAGTCAGTACCAGTGGGCCTGATTGTGAGTGACTTAGAGTGTGAACGAGTCTGGGTATGAAAGATCTGAGTTTGAGATGAATCTTCGGACTTTGAGCGAGTCTGAGTCTGGGTGAGTCTGAGTGTGAATGCGTGTGCACAGGTTATCTGAGTGTTATGGAAGAGAGGAACGAGGCGGGAAGAACGGATGGAGGCGTTGGCATCACACTATAGGCGTATTCTTATTGTGAAGGCCTGACGGCTGGTGCCGCCGACCCTGAAAGACATCGACGACGACCAGGCGGGGGAGGAGGAGGAGGAGCAGGAGGAGGAGGAGGCGGAGATAAGGAGGAGGATGAGGAGGAGGAGGAGGACCAGGAGGAAGAGGAGGAGGAGGAGGAGGAGGAGGAGGAGGAGGAGGAGGAGGAGAAGGAGGGGGAAAAGGACTCCCCCCTGGGCGCCCTCCCCCCCTGGGGAGGAGGACCAGAGGAGGACTGGCGTGGGAGAGGGGAGGGGAGGGGGAGGATGACCCCAGGAACGGATGCGTCTCTGACTCTTCCCCACCTGGGAAGGAGGAACTGAGGAGGACCAGCGCGCCGGAGAAGGACCAGCGTGGGAGAGCCCCCAGAGGCGATGCGAATCTCCCCCCCCCCCCGGACCCGTTCCCCCTCCGCCGAGGAAGGGACAAAGGGAGGGGGCTTCCCTTTGACGTAATGAGGACGTGGATGGAATTTCCTCAAGCTGCGAACCCGTTCCCCGAACGAGGAAGGGTGCTCTCTCTCTCTCTCTCTTTCTCTCTCTCTCTCCCCCGACGGGAGAGGAGGATGGGAAGGAGGGGGCGAAAGAAGGCTCCCCGTCGACGGGACCGGACAGACACGCCACACACGCCGACAGGGTCGGCGGATTTTGCCATTCAAGAGGCTTCGCGTAACCCCACCATCCCATCCAGAAACGATGCCCAGACGAGTTGCCCTGATCAGGGATGTGGACGAGCACGCAGTGGAATAAAGGGCTGGGTCAGACGTCATACCCCAAGAGGGGGAGGATGGAGGAGGAATCGGAGGAGAAGGAGGAGGAGGATGAGGATGAGTAGGGAGAGAGGGAGGGGGAGAGGTGGGAGGAAAAGCATGAGCAATGGGCGGATGATGATGATGATGATGATGATGATGATGATGATGATGATGATGATGATGATGATGATGATGATGATGATGATGATGCTGATGAAAATGCTGATGATGATGATGATGATGATGATACTGGTACTGATACTGATACTGATACTGATGATGATGATGCTGATGATGATGATGATGATGCTGATGATGAGGATGCTGATGCTGATGCTGATGATGCTGATGATGATGATGCTGATGCTGATGCTGATGCAGATGCTCATGCTGCTGATGATGATGAGGAGGAGGAGGGCGAGCAGAGAGGCTAGCTCACTCTTGGATGTCTCTCGGTGTCTCTTCGGAAGTCTTTCGAGAGCTTCATAGAGTCACCTTGGGGTGTCTTTGGGTTCTCTTGGCAGTCCTGGGATCCTCTTTGGGCGTCTTGGGTGCCTGTGGGGGTCCTTTTGGAGTTTCTCTTGGGCATCTTGGGGACCTCGGAGCCGTCTTGGAGCTCCCTTGGGGGCCTCCGAGGCCATCTTGTGATCATCGTGGAAGGAATCAATCAGGGGATATTCCAAGTAACCTCTCGGAAACTAGTACAATTAGTGATTTCGGTTTTCTCGCAGAGACCAAATTGGACGCTATACGTCCAAATTGGTTTTCTCGCAGAGACCAAATTGGTTTTCTCGCAGGCCAGCGGCAGGGGGTAGGGGTCAAGACACCCTCCCCGCCCGCAAGCCGTCTCGCTCACTCCCACCCGCCCTCCCAAAACACAAGTTGCACCCGAGCCTCATCGTGTTCAACGGTAGTCTTTGGATGGGCAGCTACTGGGAACCTAAACAGACCCCAGCCAGGCACCCCTGTGGCCCAAGCGTACCAGGACGCCTGGTGCGCCAGATCCGCCACGTGATCCACGTGCGCCAGTTGTGCCGCATGATCCAGCCGCGCCAGGTGCTTAACGTTCGGGGCACGCGCAGAGCGTGCCAGGTGCGCCTGCGCACGGGGCAGTACACATCGGGAAACGTAGGGCCCCCACCACCCTTGTCGAAAACCAGAGCGCAATCGCGGCGGGGTGGCCATCATAGCGTCTGTTTGGCCTGCATATTGCTGGCAATATGCCAGCACCCCCGCCGTCCCAGTCAAGAACCACTGCACAGTGATCGCGCGGGGGTGCTGGCCCTGCGCAGAGCAGGCAATATGAGGGCACCCCCGCCGTACCTATCAACAAACAATACCAAGTGCTCGCGCCCCCTCGATCATGACCCAAGATTATGCCCCAAAATGGACTTCGCATGGTTTTTCGACAGGGATGGTGGAGCGTGGTCTCATTGGTCCTGGTTAGCTGCCGGTCGCCCGGGGGAGGGTATGTTCATCAATAGGGAGCAGTGCTAAACCCTTCCCCGACGGGGAAGAAGGATTACATCGGTGCCGCCACGTTTCTTTGCCTGTCACAGACGCGCCATGGGCCAGGCCAACAATTTACGGTCTCCTGCGCGCGGGGTGGTGTGCGAGCGAACCTCCGCAGCCGCGGCTTTGCGCTGCCCGCTCGAAGTCTCGAGGCCTCGCCCAGTGGTTCATCACCCCGCCCGCCGTGCGCCCTCCCCCACAGATGGCGCGACGCCCCGCTTGGGGTAATGGCGTTGGTACGGTGCTGCTGAGATTCGCGCGCGCTCCCCCGCCGCCCGCCTCCCCCTGAGTCTGTACAGTTGTATAACCACATACGGGGAGGCGTGCCTGCGCCGATAAGCGCAAGGTCCAGCGTGCCTGCGCCGCTGCCTGCGATGACGGGGGCGTGCCTGCACTTTTTCTTTGGCGTGCCAGAGGTGCTTGCGCTTTACCCTGGGCGGTGCTTGAGCTGATACAGAACCAGTGCCCGCGGCGCTTGCGCTAACAGCGCGATAGCGAGGGATGCTTGCGCCTTGTTGTTTGGTGTGCGCGCGGTGCCTGCGCCTGGCCGCTCACAGCGCCCGCGCGGATAAATCGACTGCTCCCGCGGTTCCTTCGCTGACAACTCGATGGCGAAGCGAGGGCCGCACAATCTTACTTGACGCGCCTGCGGTGCCTGCGCCGAGTCGTGCGCACCGCCTGCGCTGATGAAGCGACGGCGCCCGCGGTGCGCGCGATAACGCCGCCATGACGGGACGATGCCCGCGCCCTAATATATTCAACGTGGTTGCGGTGCCCGCGCCGAAACGCACGCTTTGAGCTCCAGGCACCGGCGGGAGCAGAACGGAGCGGTGGTTGGACCGCGCGTCCGCGGAGCGACGTCGCTGGTCTTGCGTGGAGCAGGCACTCGGCGCGGAACACATCGCAGCCCCCCTCGAGGGGTCGACTTTGCGACGATTCACAGGCGCGCCCACCTCACCTGCCAGGTCGCGAAGCCAACACAGGGCGTTCCGTTCTTTTTCTTTGGCTGACATCTGGTATCGGAATAGGAGAATCAGGACTGGCCCCCCCCTTCCCTTTCCGCCCGCCCCCTTCTCCGCCTGAGTGCGCCTGCGAGGCAAAGCGTGGTCTGCCTCCGCGAGGACCGCGGCAGCGCTGGGCGCTCTGGCTTCGGAGGCCGCAGAAGCTGCCGAGGCCGCAGACGGCCAGCTGCCAGTGGCCGCGCCCGAGGAGTGGAGGGAAGAGTGTGGGATGGGGGGGCCAGGGGAGGAAATGGTACCGATGCCGCTACTTGTGCCTCGCTCTCGCCATTTTGTGCTCCTGGGATGCCCTCCTCGCCGCCGCTGGAACCGCTTCGAAGCCTGGGCCAGCACGTACCCCTGGAGAAGAGGTCTGGGGAGCAGCGGCGTCGGTACTTTTTGGCTTTCAGCAGGGGGTCTGTCGCTTATCGGATTTTTGTTTCTCGCCTCGGGCTGTTTTCCGGCAGCTGCGCCTCGTCGGGGGTGCCCCAGTCGTCCCGAAGGCCCCGTTGGCCCGAGTGACGACCCGAAGGCCACCAAAGCCAGACATCGTCCCGGCATGAGGCTTTGGGCAGTCGAAAAGGCGGCTCGGGACGAAGAAACCCATCCCTTCGAAAGGATCGAGACCGTCGGATGCCCACGACGTGCCACAACGCGTCGGGGGTCTGGGATATCCCTCGTCTTTCTCCTCGGCCCCCACCCCATCCAGGCCAGTCCGGTGATCGTAGCTGCCCTGAGCTCCATCAGCCATCAGCCTCTATTGTTTTCTGTTTATACTTTCGCAGAAGATAGGGGTTCGTTTTGCATGGTGCCCCAAATAATTACCTGACTCGCGCGTCCGTTCGGACAAAATGCGTGGGTCTAGTGCGTCGGGGGTGGCCAAGGAATCGCGGGAGATGAAGTCGGATCCTCGTTGCTCGCGTGGTTGGCTGGTCGATCGTCGTTCGAGATGTCCAAGCCCGTTTGCGTTGTGAGAACATCACGTCGAACGGTTTTAGCAATGGTCGGCCTTTCTGTTCTAGGAGCTTGTTGTGCTTAGGAACAGTCAAACACAGTTCAGGATGAACACCGTTTCTCTGGAAAGGGTCCAGACCTCTGGATTGCCACGTTGTGAAACAGACACGGCGTCGGATGTTTGGCTTCGTCAGCCAGTACGGCGGAATTGTGGTTCCTGCGCTCTGTCGTGCGGGCGCCAGCGCTTGCGTCCGCATCTTAGCAGATAGATGTTCGGTGTCTGGGCGAACAACCATGCCTCATGCGTGGGAAGACGGAAACGTGGCGCCACCTCGGCGCTAAAGGCGTTGGTGTGGAGCCAGGGAGGCAGAGATACAACAGTGAATCGGGTACATAAGCGGTGTCAGACGGAAGCGGGATACGATGACGAATCTCTCAAGGTGGTTGCAAAGTCGCTTAAGATTTTTCATAATGTGGCTCCGCGGGGTGATTTTACCTGTGCGGGCTGGGTGGTATTGGATCGAGTACACCGTGCGTGACCACACTGAAGCCAATCGCCTCGCCACAATGCAAATTCAAGAAACTTCGTCGCTGGCTGCCTGGGCCGAGGAGAAGCGATCAGTTCATTGGGCGAACTGCTTGGCCTGAGCCGTGTCGCATCGTGATTGCCAACATCCGTGTGGTTACAGGCGTTCGAGAGATGTGTATTTCGATTTTATCTTGAGGGCGGGCACGGGGAGCTGCAGTGATGCTTGCACGTACGCAGGGCGAGGCACCCCGCACTGCAGGTGGAGCAGTCCTCTTGACACGTATCTCAGCGATGCCACCTCTGACACAGAGCTCGAAGGCAGAGAAACAAATTTGAAGGAGAAGCATGGGAAATGGAGATTCAAGATTGGAGAGAAGTTGAAATGAGGAAGTGCGTACAATGGAGGTGAAGTATCAGCAAGAAACATGGAGGAGTATTGCGTAATGCTGTGAATAATTCAGAACGAGGGCTTAGGGAAACGAGGTGGCCAGGTTGGGGAACTCGGAAACAGGAGTAGAAGGGATGTGAGCATATCCAGGTGAAGCATGAGATGGAGGAGGCCGGCTGCGGATGAGGAAGAGGAGAGGAAAGTGTAGAGGATGAGTGATGGAGGCGGATGTGGAGGATCGAACGCTTTGTCTGTCTGTCTGTCTGTGTGTGTGTGTGTGTGTGCGTGTGTGCGATATTGTACATTTTGCCGAGAGGGGGGCATCATTGCTTTGAATACAGTTTGAAACAATGTGTACCCAATGCGTTCTGCAATACTCGCTTTGCCAGCTGAGTTCTGACAGTGCTCCGTATTCCGCTATTTCTCTTGCCGTGCTACCGCCCGTCTACCGTCTACCGCTGGCATTGCATTTGCTCTTCGGGAATCTTAATCTCCTCCATGGAACGGCAAGGGCAGCCGCACATGGAACCCGAGAGGCTTTATACTCTTGACGCTTCGCGTGTCCCCACCAGCGTCCGTAGCCCCCCCTCTCTCTGGCTCAAGCCGTCTGGGCTCGAGCACGCCCCTGGCTCAGGTGCGCGCCCGGCCCGTGGGATGGAGGCCACCGTGACGCGGCGGCGGCTGCGGCGAGCAGCGGGCGCCGTGGGCGCCGCGGGCGCCGCTGGCCGGGCGCCGCGGGTGCCGCTGGCGCCGCGTGCGCCGCGGGCACCGCCGGCGCCGCGCCGCAGGGGCGGCGTGTGCCGCGGGCGCCGCTGGCGCCGCGGGCGCTGCGAGCGCCGCGGGCGTCGCGGGTCGCGCTGCCGCTCCTTGCCATCGCCCGCGGGCCCGCGCACGTGAACCGCAAGGTGTCATCCTACGGCTTTGCAGTCCTACCCGTGCGACGAGGTTACCCTGCTGTCGGGTGCGCGCTGGGCTCTCACCTGTGGTCGTTTTCACTTGCATGGGCTTGGTGCCGTCCAGCAGCTTCTGGTGCTGGGGCTCTCGGTGTCGGTCGCCCTTGGGGCCGCGCATGTGAACCGCACGTTGTCATACTACGGCATTGATGTCCTACTTGTACGGCAAGGTCTCGTTGGTGTCGGGTACACGCTGGGCTCTCACTTGTGCTCGTTTTCACTTGCGTGGGCTTGGTGCATTTTAGCAGTTTCTAGATCGCGTTCGCGGAGCGTTTGGTGTTGGTTGACGCCCACTTGAAGTTCTACTTGTACGGCAAGGCTGCGCGCCTCGGTCATGGCTGCTGGGTTGCAGTGCCGCCGCGCGGTCGTCTGGCTCTACCTGCTCCGCAGTGTTGCCGGTCTACCACTTCACGCGCCAGCTGCGTTGCGTCTTCCTCGGCCGCCTGGCCTTCGCGACATTTTGGCTGCGTCTCCTATGTTGGCAGAGTGGTGCTCGTTCGCGGTGAAGCCATCACTACGCCTTCGTCTCCGTCCTTCCCATGCTGTCGGAGCGCTTCCTGTGCTTCGCCACGCTCGCTTTCAAGGTCTTCGGCGCGCTCTTCTGCTGCTGACCGCCCGGTCGGTTTCGCGGCCTAGCGCGCCGTCGCCTTCACTGTTTTTCATTTCGCTACCGGCGCGGCCCGCCGTAGCAGGCTCGGCGTTCGACCCGTTTCGCGCGCCCGCTGAACAAAAATGCCCCGCCAACCCATCCAAAACTAATGGCCGAACGAGTTGCCCCAATCAGGGATGCGCAGCGTCATGCAGTCACGCTCTTTGGTCTAGGACGGCCCTGGCCAGGCATGGTGGTGATACATAGTGCTTCAAACGGCAAAAACATACATTGTTGGAGGCCCGCGCGGATTTCTTCATTCTGCAATGTAGTTCCAGTGGCGGCGCCTGGCGCGCGCCACGCCCCGGGGGGAAGGGGGGTGTCCGTCGCCGACTCAATAAATCCGCGCGGACCTCCGACAAGTTATGTCCATATTGTTGGGTGCCTCTGTTGAAATAGGGAGGAGGAGGAGGAGGAGGAGGAGGAGGAGGAGGAGGAGGAGGAGGAGGAGGAGGAGGAGGAGGAGGAGGAGGAGGAGGAGGAGGAGGAGGAGGAGGAGGAGGAGGAGGAGGAGGAGAGAGGAGGAGGAGGAGGAGGAGGAGGAGGAGGAGGAGGAGGACGAGGAGGAGGAGGAGGCAGCGATAGTCGGCGGGTTGGCGAGGCCACGGCGACGGCCGGAGAAGGCGCTGACCTCCAACCAGCGGCGGCCATGGCCGACGGAGGGGCGGCAGCGGAACGAAGCGAGGAGTCTGTTTCGGCGGCGGCCGGGCTTGGGGCCCGCATGCGCCGCGGCGCCAGCGAGGATGTCCCGCCTGCTTCCCTCGTCCCGCTGGCCGCTTGCCGCCTGTCTGGGGGACGGGGGCAGGGTCTCTGCGCTCTTGCCTGCTACGGGGGGGGGGATGGGATCCCCCAAAGCGTCGCAAGCAGAAACTTTCGGAGGTCCTGGCCCCTGGCGCGCTCCGCCCGCCAGGGCACGGGGGGGCTGGCGCCGACCCCAACGAAGGGTCGTACCGAAACGGCCATGGCAAAATCTGCACCGGGACAGGCTGTCTCGCCATGTTGTTCACTACGGGGCTCAGTGGAGCAATTGTTCATGTCTCCCCAGGGCGAGCACTTGGCGGTAGCCCGCGTTCGCACGAGTATGCGCCGAACCTGGACCAAGCCTTTTCGCAGAAAATTGAAAACACTTGTTGACGATTCGCGTATCCCCGCTAACTTGACACGCCGTCGGCGCGCTCGCCTTCGGCTGGTAACAAAAAGTATCCCCACCAGCGTCGACCTTTGACGCCGCCTGCGCCTTCGTTTGCGGCTGCGACAAAATACCACCAGCCCATCCAGAAACGATGCCCAGGAGAGCTGACGGAAGAAGGGAGGAAGAGACGCACATAGTGAAACAGCGTGGGCAACAACGGTGAATTGGGAGATCTTTTGTAGCGCATGGTACGGGTGCTGCTGTTGGTGCTGTTGCTGCTGCTGGTACTGTTGGTGGTGGTGGTGGTGCTGCTGCTGCTGCTGGTGCTGCTGGTGGTGTTGTTGGTTCTCGCGTTGTTGGTGCTGCTGCTGGTGCTGCTGCTGGTGCCGTTGTTTCTGTTGGTGGTGGTGGTGCTGTTGCTGCTGGTGTTCGTTTTGGAGGCCTCTTGGGGCGTCTTCTTGGGTGCCTCGGGGATCCTCGTGAGGCCTCAGAAGGGGGTCTCTTGGAGGCCTCTTGGAAGCGTTTTGGGCGCCTCTTGGGACCGTCTGGGTGCCTCTTGGGGCCCTCTTGAAGCATTCGTGGGAGGCTTCAGGGGCGCTCTCGGGGCCATCTAGGAAGAGATCGATCAAAGAAGGGGGTTCCCTAATTACGCCCCCCTCTCGGGAGCCCCCAAAATAGCCTCCTGGACCGCTCTTGGGGCGCTCCTGGAGCGCTCTTGGGCGCTTCTGGGGCCGTCTCGGGGCTCTCTTAGGCCCTCTTGGGGCCCTCTTGGGCCATCTTGGAGCCATCTTGAGGCCTCGGATGGCCATCGGAAGCGAAAGGGCGAGAAGGCACACATCATTGGTTTTCCTTAGGTTTTTGAAGGGTTTAGGCTTCTTGGAGGCCTCCTTGGAGGTCTCGGAGGCCTCTTGGAGCCGCCTTGGGGCGGTCTTGGAGCCTCTTGGAGCATCTTGGAAGCCATCTTGAGGAATATCTTGCGTTATCTTGAACCATCTAGGAGTTCATCTTGGGCTCTCTGGACCCCTCTTGGAGCCGTCTCGGGCCATCTTTGAAGCTCTGACCGCTCGCGAAATCCCCGTCCAGGTCCACGGGAGGGGGCAGGATGGAGGGGTAAACCCCTCCCCGAAGGGACGAAGGGGGTTGGAAGAGGAAACTCCCTGGACCACCTACGCCCAGAGGGCTGGTGGGATTGCACGGATGGAGGGCGGTTTCTCTTCGCTCGACACGATGCGCATGGCGCTAAGAGAAGAAGCCTCATTTGGAAAGAGGCAGGGCTCTTCATCCATGTAGCTGGTGGGAGTTTTTACGACGAATGTGCCTGGCGGTACGGTGAGAGCCACATGTTTAACACGCCCCCCCTCCATCCGTGTAACACCTGGAGGTTGTTTTTCAGGTTCCTCTCAAGCGGGTTATTGGGCTTGCCCCACCCCCCCCGATAACCTCACCTTGTCGGTTGGGCAAGGTCCGGCGGCGGGGCAGGGAGCTCAAAAGGAACGCTCACTTCAACGCGCGGTGGTGTGCGCAACAGCATGCTGGTCGTTGAATGCACTTTGGTGAAACGTTAGGGTTTGGGGGTTGGCAAGGGCAGACGACGACGATGACGACGACGATGAAGACGACGACGACGTCGACGACGACGACGACGAAGACGAAAACGAAGACGAAGACGAAGACGGCGCAGTTGGGTGCGGCAGTTCGGCCAAACCCTATCGAAACCTACCCGAGGAAGGTTTTAGGAAGGTTGTAGGAGGAATCCAACCAAAACCTCCCAAACAAATTCCAGAGGAAAGTTTCTAACAGGCTTTAAGGAGGAACCCTCTCCTGAAACCGTCCCGAGGAAGTTGTTGGGGAGGTTTTAGGAGGAAACCTTACTGAAACCTTCCTGAGGAAGGTGTTTGGAAGGTTCTAGGAGCAATCATCCGAAAACCTTACAGCAAATCTTCCTCATGAAGGTTTCCGACGGTTTTTAGGAGGAATCCTTCTTGAAACCTTTTTGAGGAAGGTTGTTAAACGGCTGTAGGAGGAATCCTCGAGCAAAAACCTTCCCGAGGAAGGTTTTGGACCGGTTTTTAGGAGGAAGCCCTCCTGAAACCTTCCTGAGGAAGTGTTTAGCACGGTTTTCAGGAGGAAGCCCTTTTCAAATTTTCTTGAAGGCAATGTTTGGAAGGTTTAAGGGGGGATCCTCCAAACACTTGCCAAAGACCTTCCGGGGGAAGGCTTGGGAAGGTGTCTAGGATGAAAACTTTTGAAACCTTTTTGGAGACGGTTATCTGAAGGTTTGGAGCGGAAGCTCGATGTTTGGAAGGTTTTGGGAGGAATCTGAATATTTTCTTCGGATTGGTTTCAGGAAGGTTTTTGGGAGGAAGCTCCCCTGACATTTTCCCATGGCAGGTTTTTGGAAGGTTTTAGGCGGAATCTTCCGACAACTTTCCAACAGCCCTTCCTGCGAAAGGTTTAGGCCGATGTTTCGGAGGAAAGTGTTTTGAAACCTTCCTGAGGAAGGTTTCAAAAGGTGTTTCGAAGGACACCCTCCTCAAATCTTGCTGAGGAAGGTTTTAGCGGAGGGTTTTTTGGAGGACGCCCTCTTGAACTTTGGAGGAAGGTTTTTGTAAGAGAAGGAATCCTCCAACAACCTCCCATAACACCTTCCTGAGTAAGGTTTGAACAGAACCCTTCCTGAGGAAGGGTTTCACATTGCTTTTAGGAAGAAGACCTCCTGAAACCTTCTGGAGGATTTTTTGGGACGCTTCGAGGAGGATTCCCCCTAAAACCTTCCAACTTTCCGGAGGCAGGTTTTAGGATTTGTTTTGGGACGGGCTTAGGGAGGAAACCCTCTTGAAAACTTCAGCAGGAAGGTTCTTGGAAGGTTTTAGGAGGAATCCCCCAAACACCTTTCAAAAACCATGCCGAGGAAGGTTGTAGGAAGGTTTTCAGGAGAAAGGGTTGTTTGGAAGGTTTGGGGGGGAATCCTCCAACAACTTCGAAAAAAGAGCCATCCCAAGGAAGGTCTTAGACAGGTTTTCAGAGGAAATAGTCGGGTGTCGAACAGGGCAAGGATCCCAAGAGGATACGCGATGGATGGAAAAGTATGGCGTCGAAGAGCACGGCAGAATATAGCACGTCGTAGCATGGCGCTGCACTGCGTAGTGAAGCATTGCACCACAAAACATAGCAACGCAAAGCGTGGCATCGCACAGCGGTGCACAACACAACATCACATTGCATGCCGTAGCATGGCACCCGATGATTTGAAGGGTAAGTGGCGTCCGGAGGCGCGGGATCGAGGCCAGCGCTGCAGCGGGAGCACGATTTTGAATGACCGAAACGTGGAAATTTCGGCGGCGCTGCAGCGGGAGCACCATTTTGGAAGAATCAAAAGCGTCTGGATTTAAAAACACATAGGGAAACCAGATAATGCAATCCTCCGGGGAGGACGGGACATTCTCCGAACAGAATCAGGGGACAGAGGAGAAAAGTATTCATATTGTGTAATTGTGTAGTGGCGCCGCCGCCTATGTTCTTAAAGGGTCGCCCCCTCGTCGGCATGGCAGTGTTCTTCTCGTAAGCCCTAAGCGAGGCCGATGCCATGCACCGTCATCGGCTGGTTGGGGTGCCAGGTGTGCAGACTGAACACAGGATCTGCTCCGGCATGGGGGTGGTTCAGAAGTTTATCGATTGAGGCGCGCAAGGGCGGAAGGGGCGCCTCCTGGTGCAGTGTAGCGGTGCTCCTCCCGCAGGACAGCAAGGCTTCGGACCGCGTCTCGTGGGGTTCCGCATCGGCGGTGGGCAGGGCGCGGCGTGCGTGTTTTTTGTTGTTTGTCTTTCTCTCTCTCTCTCTCTTTCTCTCTCTCTCTCTTTTTTATCTCTCTCTCTCTCTCTGAGGTGGGGCTTCGATGCATGCACGACCCCCCTCTTCCTTCTGCAGTGCCCAGCATCACTGAACGGTCATCCGCTATCTGGTGGGGGTGCAGGTGCCTGGCGCCTTTTTTGCTATCCTCACGTTTCTTTCCGCCTCCGCTGGTCATCACCTGAAGGGCTGCGCCCTTTCCTGTCGTGCGGCTTTCTGGGGGGCATTCTGGTGCTGCTGGGGCCACCGTCGGGCCATCTTGCGCAGTGTCGGGACCACCTTGAGAGGCCCTTGGGACCCATCTTGAGGGTGTCTTGGGGCCACCTTCGGGCCTTGGGGCTGTCCCCAGCGATCTGGGCAGCATCATGGGGCCTTTGAGGGCTTCCTTGGGGCCACCTTGGGACGTCTCGGGGGCTCTGGGGGCCGGCTTGAAGCGATCTCTGGACAGTGTGCGAGCGAAACAAGGGACAGGTGACTATCAGTGAACGACAATTGTTTGTTCAGCTGTGTTTGTCCATGCTGGCGGCGTCTTGGGCCCCCTTCTGAGCCATACTGGAGGCCTCGCAGGGAGATCTTCGGCAGTCTTTGAGGCCTCCTGGACCCTCCCGACCATGCAGTTGCGTCTGGTGGGACCCTTGGGGCAGCCCAGATCGCCCCTGTACTTCGGGAGCCTCCCCCAAGAGCTTTTTTTCTCGACGTGTCGGGGACGGGCAGGAGAGGATTGGAGAGACACGATACACAAAGGGCAACACGCCGACTACGTACGGCACATAAATCTATCAGAAATTCTCACAGCTCGGAGCCCAACGGGGCCGACGGAGTTGCTTACATCCCACTGTCTCTCTTACGCGGGCTTCCGTTGTCAATCGGCTTTCGCGTGTCGTCAGTTTTCCTGCGGGTTTCACAATGTGAGCGGTTCGTTCTGGGCCATACCTTGACTTTATCGTTTTTGCCGTCGTTGCCCGTTTGCTTCAAATGTGTTGTAGTTTCGTTTTTCTCGGTGCAGCCATTCGTTTATGCTTGCGAAGGCCTCATGCTATATCGTATATGTGCGATCGGGGCTGCTGGTGTTATCCGAAATATGGGTTGAGCATTTCCTGGTGCAGACTTGCACCGCTGTAACCAGCAGCTATGTATGTGCCAGGGCATAGGTATCGTGGACGCCTCAGGTGAGACACCGCTGCCTTGTTCTTTCCCTTGCGGCTCTATGAGCTTTGTGGGAGTTATCCGAGGACGCACTGTGGGCCACTGGGGCTGTTCTAGCGGCCCCAGGGGCATTTTTCAGGGCGTCCCGGGGGTTCTTCGAGGAATACTGGGCCATCACGGGGAACTTCTAGGCGGACACTTGGATAGGCAGGCAGTTGGTGCAGGTTTTGTGTAAGGAAGTTGTGTGTGTGTGTGTGTCTCGACTCGACGCCGAACCATTGGCCTTTCTTGTCGGCATACGCTTCGAGCGCGGCTCTCTGCGAGAGGTGTTTTCGAGGGCTTGCTTCGTAATTGTAAGGTGTATGCATCGTGTAGCCACTCCTTGGCCGCAGCTGATCGGGCGAGATGCTGCGTAACTTGTGAATTCCAGGTTGTTGACAAATCAAGTGCTGCCGTCATCATGATTCCCGTGGCAAGGCTGCTGTCGATTCAATCGCGAGTCTCGATGCTTCCGAATGTGCCACTTCTTCAAGGGACAGCGAATGCGCGGATGTCGGATCGGAGCTCATCTGAATCGATATTCGGACATGTCGAATGCCACATGGCTATGTTCGAATGTGGAATCGCAAGCATGAGCGGCAGCATCTGGATTGACGAATCGTCTAAGTGTTGCGTTACCGGATTGTCGGGAAATGCCAATTCGTCAGTGCGGCTTCTTTTGACCATGCTGGCTCGAGTGCGATGTAGCCACAGTAGCTGACTGCTCTGTTACGCTGCTCGGCGCCGTTGTCGGGTGCATTTTAATTGCGCTGTGGGCGGCGTTAGCACATTGTGCGGCACATGGTGTGGTGAAGGGTCGCGGAGCTGGGATTTGCACCATACTTAGCAGTTCGTGCCGCAAGGCGGTCTGCTGTTCAAATTTCGTCGTTGCGTGATCTAATGCCAAGTCAGCCGGGAGCTCCTGCGCGAATGCCAATCGCCCCATCGTCATAGGATTCATGCGCCGTGAGCGTCGTATGCAGTTCAGGGTTCATTTCTAGGGGGGATTCGGACGCTGATGTGGAGCTGTCAAGCAGACTGCCGCAGCAGGTCGCGAATTCCATTGCACCCGCCCATTTCGCTCGCATCGTGCTGCATTGGGAAGATCACCGAGTCATTTAGCAGAGGTCATGCATGCAGAGTGCACATAGCGTGCGCGGCGCGCCGATTGTAGTTCAGTCGAGCATCCTGCCCTTCTGGCCTCCGCTCCTGCTGCACTCTCTGCCCTTCTGCTCCTCTCGCTCTTCTTGGTGCTGGTCCTGGCTCTTGCCCCTCCCGTTTCTCTTCCCCTGCGCACCCCCTTTTTTTTCTACCGCGTGTCTTCTTCTCCTTCACTCCTCCCTCCTCCCTTCTCCTGATCCTTCTTCTGCCTTTCCTGCTTCCGCTGCCCCTCCTGCTCACTCTGCTTCTGCTCCTCTTTCGCTGCTGACGCCGCAACGTCTGCTGATCATGTTCCTACTCCTATATCCTGCTTCTGTGTTCTGCCTGCCTGCCTGCCTGTCTGTCTGTCTGTCTGTCTGTCCGTCCGTCCGTCCGTCTGTCTGTCTGTCTCTCTGTCTGTCTCTGTGTCTGTCTGTCTGTCGCTCTGTCCGTACGTCCGTCCTGTTAGTCTCGTTTTTCGTTGTTCTCTCTCCCTCTCTCGCTTTTCATGCAACCCTTTGCTCCTGCCTCCTTTGTCTTGCCTCCTGAGCCCTGCCTCCTTCGCCTCCGCCTCGGTCTCCATGCCATCGAGCTTCCATCCTCCGCCTAGGCCTCCACTCCCACCTCTGGCTCCACCTCCAGCTCCACCTCCAGCTCCACCTCTGCCTCCCCCATCATCCCGCCCGCCTGACTCCGGATCCTGCTGCCCCTCGGCTCCCGCTCGCCCGCTTCGCCCTCCCTCGCCCTCCCCCTCTTTACTCGCACCGCCGTGCTCCCTCTCGTGCCCCCTCCCTGCCCCTCCCCGTCCCGCCTCGGCTGCGAGGGGAGGCGTCGCCCTGCCCCCCGCGGTCGCCGCCGCTGTCCCCGCTGGGCACGGGGCAGACCCACATGAGGAGCAAGAGGCGGCCAGCCGTGGGGCGCGCGCAGGGGGGGGGGGGCCTCGACCACGAGTGGCGCAGCGCGTCCCCCGATCCTGCGAGGCGGGCGGGCCCCCGCCCCTCCTTCCTCCTCCCTCCTCCCGCCTACTCCCTCCTCCCTCCTCCCTCCTCCTCCTCCTCCTCCCTCCTCCTCCTCCTCCCTCCCTCTCCTCACTCCTCCTCCCCTTTCTCCTCCTCCTCCTCTGCCTCTTCCTCCTCCTCCTCTCCTCCTCCTCCTCTCCTCCCTCCTCCCTCCTCCCTCCTCCCTCCTCCCTTCCCCCCCCCTCCCCGCCGCACCCCTCCGGCCAGGTATCGGCTGCGCCTGGGAGTGTGACCTTTCGGTGGAGTGCATTGCACGTGGTGCTGGCCCAGAGGGGCCTCCCTGAAGCCGCGCGCCAAAGGCCACTAGAGATGCGGTGGACCCTTCCAGACCCCGTAATCAGTGGTTCGGTACAGAACTATGGCTAGTGTTTTAGTGGTCAAGACAACATCTGTGATTCAACGACTACGAGACGTACCCTTCGCCAACACAGCCCTCCCCCCGGATACCCTGCAGCAGCCTTCCCCTCCCCCTCCCTTAGCTCCTGGCCTTCGGCATCTCTCAGGGCTGCCCAATGTCCCCATTCCGTTCTCGATCGTGATGAACGTGCTGATGCATGACGCATCACGGCATTTCCAGACGTTTGGCCTCCAATAGCATTGTGATTTTCCCATCAGTGAGCTCATGTACGCGGACGACACACTTCTCGTCGGCGCCGAGGAAGCACACATGTCGCAGGTGGTGGATTGCGTTAATTACGCCGGGGCGCAATGCAGCTTACTGCGAAATTGGAGCAATGTAGACGTTATTCCGATATGCTGCCAGTCTCACATTAAACCGCCAGATGGTCAGGCAATGCATCGAATACAAGTCATGGTCTACCTAGGCGGCCTACTTTGTTCTGGCGGTGGAAGCGGCCCTGAGTTTAGTAGGGAAGCCGGCATGGTATGCAAGGATTTCGAGTACATGAGCATTGTATGGAAGCATAGATCTTCCGGAGAAAGATACAACATCCTATTCAGCGCGTGCGTCGTACCCACATTCATTTATTGCATGTGTGCGGTGTGGTTCAGCAGTTCAGCATGTAATGAGTCATATTTCTTTCACGCAACATGCTTGCCCACTTGTCGGGCATTTCGAACTCATAATATCGTCCTATCGCAACTTTCACAGTGCTGCAAATGTGCAAGATGCCAACGCTTAGCTCTGAATCGGCATGCCGCCAATCATCGCTCATGGGAAAAGTGGCCTGGCTCCCAGAGGACAGCGCCTTGCTGCGATGTGGAGGGGATACTTGCCAGTTCCTTCTGGCCAGTTTGCGTGCTGCACGTTCAGAGCGGCCCCAACCTCCCTCAGAGAGTTCAGCCCTGGAATGCTTCGGGACGTCACCGTTTCCCTGGGGCTCCACCGACTCGGCAGGGACGTGTCTATGGCTTCACCGCTTGTCTTCGCGTGCCTCTCCTCCTCCGCTTCCTCTTTCTCCACCACCTCCGTCTCCGGCTCCTCTTCCCCTCGTCCGCCTCTTCCTCTTTCGCCTGCCACTTCTGTCTTGTGCATTTGTGCGCAAGTGCCTCCTTCCTTCGCCTCCCTCCATGTCGTGCTCGCGGCTGATCAACATTGTGCTCCTCTTCCTCCTCCTCTCCTTTACCTACCTCATCCGCTTCTTGATTCCCTCGTCTCTCATCTATCTATCTTCCCTCGTCTGCTCCCTCTCCCCATCCGTAGGCCCCTCGGCCTCCGCAACCTGGGGAACACGTGCTTCCTGAACGCGGCTCTTCAGGCATGTCGTGCCGCTGGAGTCAGGGCATGTGGGTAGGACCTATCAACTTGTCCTCCCAACTCGTCGTCCTTCCATTCTTGGGGTCAGGCATTACGTCGTTTCTGTTCGCCTGCCAACGCCGAACATGGTAGCCTTCTAGACAGGGTGGGTCGGCAATCGTGACCACTTCAGGAATGCTTCAGATGTGATGAAACATGGAGACAACCGATTGCAAGCGCGAGCAACGTTTCGCCATCTCATTATACATTACGTTTGCCTTGAAAAGCAGCCTGGGTGGTTCACAATGCACGCTTGGCGCATTCTGGATTCCCATGCGCATTGGCACATTACGGGTTTCCATGCGCATGTTCAAGGCCACGGGCGCGCAGACAACGTGAACAGAAGTTTGATTCGCGATATGGGGTTGGGGTGGGTGGGTGGGTGGTGGGTGGGTGGAGCGGGCACCATGAACAATCTTCTTAGAATGATGATGATGCTGCTGATGATGATGATGCTGATGCTGATGCTGATGCTGATGCTGATGCTGATGATGATGACGACGATGAGGATGATGATGACGACGATGATGATGATGATGCTGATGCTGATGCTCATGCTGATGCGGATGCTGCTGCAGATGATGATGATGATGATGATGATGATGATGATGATGATGATGATGATGATGATGATGATGCTGATGCTGATGCTGATGATGATTGATGATTGATGATTGATGATTGACGATGATGGTGATGCTGATGCTGATTATGATGATGATGATGACGATGATGAGGAGGAGGATGCGGATGAGGATGAGGATTATGCTGCTGATGATGCTGCTGCTGATGATGATGATGACGATGGTGATGGTGATGATGCTAATGATGCTGATGATGATGATGGTGATGATGGTGATGATGGTGATGGTGATGATGATGCTGCTGATGATGATGCTGATACTGATGCTGATGCTGATACTGATGATGATGATGATGATGATGATGATGATGATGATGATGATGTGATGATGGTGATGATGATGCTGATGATGATGATGATGATGATGATGATGATGATGCGGATGCTGATGATGCTGATGATGATGCTGATGCTGATGATGATGATGCTGATGATGATGATGATGATGCTGATGATGCTGATGATGATGGTGGTGATGATGATGTTGATGCTGATGCTGATGCTGCTGATGATGATGATGATGAAGATGATGATGATGATGATGATGATGCTGCTGCTGCTGTGATGATTGATGATGATGATGCTGATGCTGATGCTGATGCTGATGATGCTGATGATGATGATGATGATGATGATGATGATGATGATGATGATGCTGATGCTGATGATGATGATGATGATGGTGATACGTGTAAGGCCATAACGGTCTGGGAGCGGTGCTCGGCGCAGCCGTTATATATGAGCATGCACACCGACGGAGCCCTCGGGCCCCGCCGAGGAGGGGATGGAGGGGGAGGGAGGGGGAGGAGAGCGCCCTGTAGCGCTCAGCAGCCTGGGCCTCCCGCCTCCGAGCCGCGCCCCCGCGAGCGGCTACGCGGGCGGCTCAGCGGCTCGGGGCGGCCGCCCTGAAGCTCGGCGCCCGCGCCTCCCCGCGTGGGGTGCCGCCCCTGCCGCCGATCGTCGAGAGTCGGTGCGACTCGTCGAAGCTCACGTTCCACCAGCGTAACTAGGCGGCCGCTCTCGACCTCGGCGCCCGAGGCCTCGCCGCTCTCCTCCGCGCCCCCGCGAGCCTGGGCCGCCAGCACCGCCGCTGGCATCGCGCCAGCGACGGCGGCTCCCGCGCCCTTGGCGCCTCGTCGGGCCGCGCTGGTGGTGGTTCGTTCGCGGCCGCGCCGCGCGTCGGCCTCCTGGCCAGGGGCCTGGCGTTTTCGCCCCGCCGCCTGGGGTCCAGGCGGCCCGCCGTGGACGGGCCGTCCGATCGACCAGCGCAGGCGTTGCAGAGCCAGCACGTCCCGTTCACGTCCGAGACCGCCGTGCCGTGCGCGGCGCAGGGCCAGCGTCTGCAGCCTGGCACGCCGTCGCGGCAGCGCGCGGCGCCCCGCCGCCCGCATCCGCGCCCGCAGCAGGTGGGCTCCGCCGCGCCAGCGTCCGCGCCGTCGGCCGCCGTGAGGGCGGCGCTCCCCAGCTGCAGCGCCTCGCCGAGCCAGCGAGCCGTCGCCACAGCGATCGCGTCGGCCAGCTCGATGCGCTTCACCGCCGCCTCGCACGTGGGGTGGAGTGCTGCGCCCTTCTTGGCGAAGCCGTCCGCGCGCGGTTGCCCTCGTAGTCGTCCATCCTTGCGCAGCCGTCGCGGACGGAGCTGAGCGTGGCATGCCCCTTCACCTTGGTGACCCGCACGTGCTGCTGGCCGCCGAAACCGTCCACGGCCTGCCAGAACTCGTGCCACACCTCCAGGTGCGGGCGGTCCCACCCACAGCACCAGGCCTTGCCCGCGGCGAAGCCCGTCACGAGCAGCTTGCAGTTCGTCCTGATCTCGAGGATGCCATCCGCGCTGGGCAGGCCCCAGCGCAGGGCGCGGGCCGCGGCCAGGATCTCGTCCGCGTTCGCATCCTGCTGCAGGTGGGCGGGGACGCAGCCCCAGGCGCCGTGCGCTGCACCGCGGACCTGCAGCGCCGCGAGCCCCCATGCAGCGCGCACCTCGGTTGACCCCGCCTTGCCGTGCATCGCCGAGCCGTCGGTGTACAGGACGCTGGCTCCCGCCAAGGTCGCGTAGCCGTGGCCGCTGCTCCACCGCACCTCCTCGGTCTCCAGCGGCGGCGGGAGGGCGGCCACCTGGTCGGGGATGAGCGCCCTCGAGTAGCGGGGGTCTGAGGATGATGTTGTTGTTGATAACATGATGATGACGCTGCTGTTGATGATGCTGATGATGATGATGATGATGATGATAATGATGATGGTGATGACCACTCTGATGCAGATGCTGCTGAGGATGAAGGTGAGGATCATGATGATGCTGTCGTTGATGATAAATATGATGCTGATGCTGATGTTGTTGATGGTGATGCTGCTGATGATGATGATCATGTTGATGATGATGCTGATGCTGATCATGATGATGATGCTGATGATGATGCTGATGATGATGACGATGCTGATGATGATGGTGGTGATGATGATGACGAGGATAACGAGGATGATGAGGATGATGATGATGACGCTGCTGATGCTGCTGCTGATGATGATGATGATGATGGCGATGGTGATGATGATGATGATGATGATGAGGATGATGATGATGATGAGGATGAGGATGGTGATGCTGCTGCTGTTGATGATGATGATGATTTGGATGATGATGATGATGACGATGATGATGAGGATGAGGGTGAGGATGAGGATGATACTGATGCTGATGATGCTGATGCTGCTGCTGATGATGATGATGATGGCGATGGTGATGATGATGATGATGACGATGATGATGATGATGATGATGATGATGATGAGGATAAGGATGCTGATGCTGCTGATGATGATGATGATGGAGATGATGATGATGATGATGATGATGATGATGATGATGATGATGATGATGATGATGATGATGATGATGATGATGATGGATGATGATGCTGATGATGATGATGATGATGATGATGATGATGCTGATGATGATGATGATGATGTCTTTGTTGTTGTTGATGACATGTTAATGACGCTGATGATGCTGATGATGATAATGATGATGGTGATGACCACGCTGATGCTGATGTTGCTGATGATGATGGTGAGGATCATGATGATGCTGTTGTTGATGATGAAGATGATGCTGATGCTGATGCCGTTGATGTTGATGATGCTGATGATGATGCTGATGATGATGCTGATGCTGATCATGATGCTGATGATGATGATGATGATGATGATGATGATGATGATGATGATGATGCTGATGATGATGATGATGAGGATGATGAGGATGATGAGGATGATGAGGATGATGAGGATGATGAGGATGAGGATGAGGATGATGAGGATGATGATGATGATGATGATGATGATGATGATGATGATGATGATGATGATGATGATGATGCTGATGATGATGATGATGATGATGATGATGATGATGATGATGACGAGGATGATGATGATGAGGATGATGATGAGGAGGAGGATGAGGAGGAGGAGGAGGGAGAAACGCACACGCAGCAGTGGAGGTGCAGGAGGTTACAGGCGTTGGGTTGGGGAGTCCGCGAAAGGGTGCAGAGAAGCAGCCCTCGGCGCCCGGCGACGGGCGCGAATCCAGGCGTTGGCGCACGCGCCTCTGTTGGCGCCCTTCTTCCTGCACGGGCTCTTCGTCAAGGATGCCCGAGGGGGGCTCTTCATGCTGGCTTGCGGTCGCTCCCCTGTGCTTTGCCATCCCCCCGCCTTCCTCCCTCCTTGCTCTTGCCCTCCTCCGTATCCCTCCCCCTGGGAGTGCGTGCAGCTGCTCCCCCTCCCTCCCCTCCTCCGCCTTCTCCTTCTCCTCCGACTGTCCATCCTCGCTTTTCAACCTGGGAAATGAGGCTCGAGGCCCCTTGATCGCGAATGCAGTGGAAGGAGCAGTCTCGCCACTCAATGTGGAGGCGCCCACGCGTCAGGGTACCCCCGCCTGCGCTGAGCGCGCTGCGTGCGGGGGTGCCAGGCTTCGGTTTCCTCGTCTTGGTTTGAACATTGATGCAGACTGGAACAGCAGTTCAGATGAAATGCGAGGCACATGGTTAAACAGGAAAACAAACACTGATCTACGTGATGGTGAGGGGGAAGTCCCTGCCCTTTCCTCGGGTAATGGACGGATCCTTCCCTTCTTTGAGCAGCCTCAGGGTCTTTCTTCCGTCCTTGTTTCGGGGGGGCCCGAGACAGGCCCCACTAAGCAAGCGGAGACGCGAATTCCCGACGCGAAGGCTGCACAAGCGGAGCACCACGCCAGCGGCGAGCCCATGAGCCACAATCTGTGGCTCTTGTCGGCCCTGCGGTCTAGCAGCGGCAAGTTGATGTGGCTCCGTCCCTGCCTTCGCCCGCCGCCGCCGCCTTTATCAAACGTTACCGGTCCTGCTGGCAAGGCACTTTTGCCACTAATCTCTGCGCTGTCTTGTGGCAGGCGGCCTAGCATTCCTCGAAGTCTGCCATCGCCTGAGTGGCCGCTTGCTGTGCCTGTCGCATTTGTTCTCGAATCTGATCTGCAATCCTGACTTTCTTGTCCAGCACCTGCCTGGCCTCCCGCATGGCGGGATGAGCGGCGCCCACAGACTGGGTCTTGGGCAGGGAAGATTGAAGCTCACGCTCGTGAGAGGCGTAGACGTTTGCCTGAACAGTGTCGCCCAACTTCTCGAAAGTTTTCTCCCAGGCCCACAGGGTTGGAGTGTCCTCTGTGGTATACTTAGACCCTCCACTACGGAGCCGCAGACCAGTTGACCTCGTAGACGCCGATGGAGGATGGGACTGCGCAACAGCTGGGGGCGGTCCTGACGAAACGAGCCAAGACGCCGCTGGATCTTGACCTTCGAATTGCTTGCCATGTTTGCCAATCTCAAACGCAGCTGGAGCTCCTTTGCCCTGCGCCGCATCCGCCACTCCGGATGTGGTCGTTGCCCAGGGCAGGGACGGAGCCGAGCGGAGGTGAGCCCGCCCAACACCCAGCGGTTGGGGGGCGGCTGGCGGGGCTCCACAAAGGATAGGGGCTGGGGGCAGTGCTTGCAGAACCAGAAGCGTGGCTCGTTCTACTTGCAGCCGCAATGTGGGCATGGGGCCTTGCTGCCACTCTCGTCGCCTGAGGAGCTGTCGCGGGACCACTGACGAGTGTCACCCGCGGACGTACGCACCCAAGGGTGGCGGCGATAAGAAGAAACCATCGGAGATGCGTGCGGCGTGCGCAAACAGATGGAATGGTGGGAGGAAGGGTGGATGACAAGTCTCCAGTGCGATATTCAGAGAGCTGCTCTGAAGAAAACGGTTTGGGCCGCTGGATCGCCAATACCAGAAACTCGAGTCCTCTGAGCCATCGCGACGGACTCGAACCACAATGGCTACGGATCTCCTCCTCGTCCTCCTCCTTTCTCTCCTCCCTCCTCTTCCTCTTCCTCCTCCTCATCTCCCCCCCGCCCCCTGGCCTTTCTCAGGAGTCTGTGGCCACTGTGGCTCGAGGTGACGGGCATCGGGGGGGGGGCTCCGCGCGCGCCCAAACGATAACGCTGTTCCGCGCGGGGCAACTCTCAGCTATTTCATGCCATCTCGGTTCGTTTTTTCTTACAACGCGTCTCGGCGATGGCTCTAGCACGCGCTTGCTGGCTCTATCTCTTGATGGCAGTTTCGGGAGCGTTTTTTTGATGTTGGTTCGATCGCCCGTTGGCTGGTTTGCTGGTTAATTGAAGGGCCATTTAGCTGGTCGGTTAGCTGGTTGGCGGGTTGGTTGGTTGGTCGGTTGGCCGGCCGACCTGTTGATTGGAAAGGAAGGGGGAGGGGGAGGGGAAACGAGAAGTGAGGAACAGTTGCTCCCTTGGCTCCGCCTCCTCTACACGGGAGCCTGCCAGCCCCCCTGCTCCGCAGGACCTGAATGCTGCCAACCCGCTGGGCACCGGCGCTGAGGTGGCGACGGCCTTCGCGGAACTTCTGCAGAGGCTGTTCCCGCCAGAAGGCACGTCGCGTGCCATCGCATTCCCAGCAAGAACGCGCTACCTTCTGTCTGGTCCCCTTCCCCCATCCCGTAGTGCTTCCGCGAGTTCTGGGACCGCTGAAACTCCACTGCAGAAGGAGGACGCGGGGGGAGAGGCTGAATTGCCCTAGTGATTACTAGAGGGACGAGCCTGGCCAGCCTCTGAGCGGCGGGGATGGTCCCCCCTCCCAGGCCCGAGGGGTTGCTGGAGATTCGTTGGTCCTTGTCGAAACTCGACGCCTCAGCCCAGACGTGGACTTGTCCGGCTGTGAATTGGGACTTGGCTGGGGTCCCCTCAGCCCTTCGCCGGATCTCCGCCTTTTTTTTAGGGGGGGTCCCCCTTGCGTCCCCTCATCCACACGAGGCAATTGGCACGATGACGATGCGGGAGGAATGGGAGGAGGCGGAGGAGGAGAAGGAGGAGGAGGAGCAGGACGAGCAGACGGACGATGAGGAGCCTGCTGAGGAGGGGGCGGAGTCAGTGATATAGTCAGTGAGAGACTAGTCAGGAGAGCGCGTGAGTGCCAAGCATGAGGCATGATCGCACTGTCACTTGCAGCGGCCTCCGTAAGGACCAGACTTGCTACAATATTTTGTCACTGTCTTTGCTGACAGGCTTGTCGAGCTCCAGCGTCGTGAGACCTACTTTAACCTTCGCGTGACCTTCTCGTGTCCTTGGTTCCAGGGCGGGCCAGGGCCCAATATCCTCCTACCTATTGCGTCGTGCCGACGTGAAACTATACGCGGCACCACGTATAATTGCTGAAAGGCGCAGCATAGTTGTTTTACACAGAACAAGACCTGACACTATCTCAAGGGTGCCAACTCATGACATCCAAAGTCAGATCAACAAGTAGGAGGAGAAGCTGATGAAGCCCAACAAGTCGCGAGCGACGACGACAGTGGAACAGGCTCCACCTGTACGACGCAACACCAAAAGCCGACGCCCCAGGACAACCAGCTTTACGTTACCAAACCGATAGAGCACGTATATCACATAAGCGCCCTTTCCATCCAGAGCCTGTTTGATGCGGCGGACTGTCAACAATTTCAAGCCTGAGCAGCAACAGCGCATCCACCGAGCAGATCAATTTTTAGCATCAGCAGTGAGATGAGCATGCCAATAGCCTGAGCGCCTCGTGGCAGCAGCACGTGAGCTATTGTAGATCGCAAAGTTAGCAGCACTGACATAACCTGCATTACCTTCAGTGCCAAATCAAATGCACCAGCAAGCAGCAGTAAGCGCGCTAGCACACCGTGGTCAAGAATCGCGTCCGCAGATTACGAAAGGCATGCTGACTGCAACAGCCGCCACAGCCAGCCGACCAGTGACACTAGCCAGTCCAGCTGCCACCTGCGCGGAGCGGATGGAATCATGCATGCCAGAGGACTCGGCTCAGAATGCGTCCGAATACGTAGCTGTCCACATAAGCCACAGCAGGATACCCGTTCTTCCAATCTAACACCAGGTTGCTGAGGTACCGAGGCGCACCACTCATCGTGCAAGATGACATCGCGACGCCGCGATGTCTCCGCCTCAGTTCCTTCTGACCCAGTCGTATGAACCGGAACACATGGCCCAGCAAGTCCAGCGCGGCAATAGTGCATGGAAATCTGCGTCACAGAACTCCTGCCCTGACCTGCGCGCAGCATGGAAGCACACGCCAGGGCTGGAAATTCCCGACCTTGCTCAGATAATGGCACAACTATAATAATTATCCATCCACTTTGGTTATATCTCGTGGCCGTCGGCCCATCCCGCCACTGTGCCTAGATTGTGGGGTAGAGGCCTCTTGGATGTTCGTTTGGATATCGTGGAAGGCTTCTCTGGGGCCTTTGGATGCAGTTTTGAGGCCGCTTATGGGGCCGTTCAGGGGGTCTCTTGGGGCCTGTTTCTGGGGCCTCTAGGGGGCCTCTTGGGCTCTCCTGGGGACTGGGGCGATCTCGGGCGCCTCTTGGCCCGTTTCGAGGCCCTCTTGGACCGTCTTGGGGCCTCCTTGGGAGCCTCTTGGGCCGTCTTAGGGCGGTCTGGGGGGCCTCTCGGGCCATTTTGGAGCGTCGGAAGCCGGAAAACGCGAGAACGCGAATAATATGGAACAACACATGGAACATCGATGACTTGTGCCTCTTTGGGCCCTCCTGTGGGTCCTCTTGGAGCGCTCTTGGGGCTTCTTTGGGCCTCTCTTGGGCCGTCTTGGGGCCATCTTGGGCGTCTTGGGGTGCTCTTGGGCTGCCTTGGCGGCCTCTTGGATCCTCTTGGGCGCTTTCTGGGGCCTTCTTGGCCCGTCTTGGGACCCTCTGGCTTCTGGGAAAGTCACGCGGTGCAGCCCAAGAGCTCGCGGGAACGCTCGTGAAATTTGGGAATTTGGACCCCCCAGCACTTGGAATATTATAATCCCAGTGCCCTGAGTACAGAGAACGGAGGACACATGGTGACCTCGAGAAAACTCCGCTTCGCGCTTCGCGGCACGAAAACGGATCATATGCATCACAACAGAGAGAAGGAAACAGAGGAGATAGTCATACGACGAGGAGGGAAGAGGTCGTAGGAAGAGGATGCGGAGGACGTGATGGAAGAACAGGATATGGAGGAGAAGAAATGAGAGGGGGAGGAGGAGGACGAGGAGGAGGAGGAGGAGGATGGGGAGGGGGGGAGGAGGATGACAGCCGAGAGCAGGATGGACGATGCTTGAGAGGGATCGGGGAGGAAGGATGGTGGAGGGGGGAAATGGGTTGATGGAATGCGCGAAGCGGTTGGACGGGGAGGAGGACGGGAAGATGAGTCCAGCGGAGGAGGAGGAGCATATGCAAGTGAACGAGGGTGAGGATGAGGCTGAGCGATCGAGGGAGGAAAGAAGGGATACAGTGGCATGGAGGAGGAGGAGGAGGAGGAGGGAGGAGGAGGAGGAGGAGGAGGAGGAGGAGGAGGAGGAGGAGAGAGGAGGAGGAGATGGAGGATGGAGGAGGAGGAGGAGGAGGAGGAGGAGGAGGAGGAGGAGGAGGAGGAGGAGGAGAGTCCGTAGCCATTTTGGCTCAAGTTAAAACCGCTTGTCCTGGCGGCTTTAGCTTGGTTGCTGCTGAGGGGCTGGCCCGAGGCCCCGCAGGTTTTCATCCAACGATCGTCACAGGAGCGTCAAGCGCTGTTTGTCCATTTTGGCCACGTCCTTCAGTCATTTCTTCGGGTGCCGCTACCTAGTAGCGTGCGAGGGATGGGTGAGCATGGGACACAGATGTCAAGTGCAAGCGCACTTGCAGCTCAGATCGAGGCGGCACCAACCTTCACGTCGCAAGAAGTCCTCCCTCCTCGTGGCGTCCAGCGCCCACGTGCGAAAAGGTGCTGCTGCTGATGACGCTCGTCGTAGCCGCAGTCGCAATGATGAACACCGTGGAGGTATCCATGCCCCACCACACGAGGGAGATGATAACTTCGAGGACTGCATCGGGACCGAGGTGGTGGAATTGCGCACCTATGTGGACGACACCAAGCGTAGCCTCCTCGAGGCGATCGCAGGCATCCAGTCTAGTGTCGCCGCCCTCGCTAACACGGTCAATACTTCATGTTCTACACTCTCCCGTCAAGTCGAATCCCGTCTCGCCAGCGTTGAAGGCATGCAGAAGAAGACGGACACCAGGGTCGATCAGATGGAGCGCAAGATTCAGGAGTTGCAGACCATTTTGGGTGTTATGCAGTCAGAAGCCCCACCGACCCCATCGATCACGCAGTCAGCTTCATTCGATAGGCCGCCAGTATCAGCCACCATCGTCGCCAGGACCAGAACGAACACGGCCAAGCAGAACATCCTCCCTGCGCTGCGGAACTGGCTGCTCAGGGCCACGCTCTCTCCTGAGGACATCCAGCTCGAAGCAGAACCCGTCGCTCGTCGATTCCAGATTCGTATCAAGGGCTCAGCTCAGTATGCCGCTCGGAAGGTCGCCATGGCTCTCTCAGTGTTGCGAACGGGACCGCAGTCATGGGAACGGTTCCACACTAACGACATCGATGGGGTGCCTGTCGAGATCCATGTCTCGGCCGACAAGTCCGCATGCCAAGTCAAGAAGGAGTTGCTGCTCAAACAGATCCGCCGAGAGGTCGAGCAGATCCATGGTGAACATAGGGTCTTCGCGAACAAGGAGAGAGGCGAGCTGTCAGCGCAGTGGAAGCCGATCCTCCGAGTCGAGCCCGTCCAGAACGATAGACCCAATATCGAGTGGGCGATGGACCACGTCATGTCGCTCGGCATCGACCGCCAGAGGATCGAGGCCGCCATCGAGCCCTTCCTGCAGGGCCCAGCACCCGTCCTGTGGAGTGGGTAGTACCTTTGTGAGGCAGTGGCAAGGACTTCTCCCTCATCCCCGTCCTCTTTCTCTTGCCTCTTGGAATGCCAGATCCCTCTTCCACCACAACCTCTTCCTGCGCACTCGCAAGTTATCCTACCTTAGCCAGCTGCTAGTTCCAGGTGCTGTTGTCAGCGTTCAGGAGACAGGAGGGTCCCCGACCGAACTCCAGGATTTCCTCTGCCACTTACACCGGCCAGTTCAAGCTTTCCACTCTTTCTTCCCTGCCTTCCCTCGCCCCGCGGGCGGCGTCATCGCGTTCCTTCCCGACTTCTCCGACAGCCATCCCCAGGATATCCCAGAGGTTACCCCCGAGGTCCTGGTCACTGGCAGAGTTTTGAAAATCACGATCAAGTTTGCGAACAACGTCGAGTTACGGCACTACAATATTCATAACTACGGACTCGAGGCCTCCGAGAGGGACTCCATCTTAGCCAAGATTGACAACGACCTCCAATGGGCTCAGGAAGCACCTTGTCAAAGAGTTTTGGTTGTCCTGGGTGACTTCAATGTTTCCGCTGTTCCCCCTGTCCCTGCTGCTCGATTGGACTCTGGAGATCAGGACCTTCCAGGACCCCCTCAAGTATCTCAGGCTCAGGAGTGGAGAGGAGCCCGCAACGCGTCCTGGGAAAGGTGTTTCCAATCGCTCGTGGAGTCCTCAGTGGTGGAACCCGCGCATTATTGTGCGGCCACCGACATGTTTGCGGCTGTGGACCGCACTGTAACGTCGCTGCCAGGTTGGGCGCTGACACAGCTCGCCGCCACAGCCCAGGTCAAGGGGTTCCCAGATGTGCTCCACCTAACAGGTATTTCTGATCACGCCGCCATCACTGCCCAACTGGCTGCTCGTAGTGCTCTCCCAGAGGCCCAAAAAGGTATTCACCCCGAGGTCTACAAGAGCCCGCGTTACGCTGAACATTTTAGACCGTGTAATGAAGGTGGCGGACGCATCTGAGTTGACCCTCCCGCTCTTGCTGGACTTCCACGAAAAGATGATGAAAGATGCAGCTCGAGCAGCTCGTGACCAGATCGTGTTCGGAAAGCCGCATTCGTCCCTGGCCCGTCTCATTGTGCTGAAATCGATCAGTCGAGCCGTTGTTCGCCAGGACTACGTTCTCGCTGATAAGCTTTTTCGCTCGCACCCGATCGTCGCCAGGTTTCTCGAGATCGGCCCGATTCACAAATCAGTCCAGCTTGTGCGGGCCAGCGAGTTTTTGGATCTGACCAACGCTCTGAATGAGGAGGCCAACCAGCGTGCGCAAGGCGACGCTCGTGCCCAACTTCAGGCTGCTGGTTCTGACCGAGAGCGAGCTAAACTTCGCAGGAAACTCCGAGGGCTTCAGAGACGGGGGCGGATTTGGGGCCAGTTTAGTCGGCGTTTGTGTCTCCGGGGACTTCAATTGGCCGACCGTGTTGTTCAAGAACCCGCTCAGGTATTAGAAGGTTTGGCTGCCCACTGGGGTCAGGTCTTTGCCGCCAAGCCCGTAGACGAGATTGCCGCTGCCAGGTGCCTTCAGCGCTTTGGCTTCTCGCAGTCCCTGGCCGATCTTGAACCACCGTCGAGCGTGACGATCAAGAGGCTACTTCAAAAGCTTCCCGCTAGCGCTCCGGGCCCAGGCGGGCTACCTTGCCAAGCCCGGAAGAACCGCCCGAAAGGCGTCGAGACTTTGGAGATAGCTCTCAGGTGGTGTCTCGAGGGGAAGGGGATGCTCTTAGACTTCAATGAGCTCAGGGGGGTCTTCATACCTAAGGATGTGGACGGGGGAGCTGATAGGGATGAACTTGTTCGGGAACCAGCTGCTGTGAGGCCCCTAGGACTGAAAAACGCTGACTGTAAAATCCCCACTAGCGCGTGTATTTCTCCTTTGTCGAGGCGTGCCCCCGAGATAGTGGGCCCTATCCAAAGGTGTTTTATTAGCGGGACGAACCATGGGGATAATATTCTTGAGCTGGGTGCGTGGTCGAGAGCTTCGGGCCTTTCTGAGACTTCGGAAATCGACCTGCCGATTCTCGTTTCATATGACTATGGTCAGGCTTTTCTTTCTACTGCGCACTCGTGGATTTTTAGAGTCCTCGAGTCTCTGCGCCCCCCCCCCTCCTTGGCTTTCTTCGCTTCATTTGCACTCGCCTTGCTTGCTCTGGGCAGATTGGCGGCGAGTACTTAATGATGTTCTTCATCTCCTCGGGGATAGTGCAGGGCTGTCCTGCATCTGGTGTGCTATGCGCCATAGCCACGAAGCCTTTTATGCTTCAGTTTAATGTCCAGATCAACGCTCCGCAGAGAGGAGTAGTCAGGTGTTGCGCAGAACATGTTGGCGCTGTGCTTTTCAATCTCGCCGCCCTGAAAAATGTGGCCATCGTGTTCAGAACGGCCGCCCGCGTCTCCAGTCTGCGCCTCAGATTCAAGAAATGTTTCATTGTTCCTCTCTCAGGAAGATCCACGCCAGAATTAGCTCGTGCGGCCAAAAAGTGGATCACCCTGAACTTGCCTGAATGGTCTGAATTTGAAGCGTCGCCCTGCCTCAAGTATCTCGGGATGTGGATGGGCCCTGCAGTCGCCCAAGAGTCCTGGAAAAGCCCGCAAGACAAATATTGTGCTCGCGGCTGCCTGCTAGCTAAAGCCCGCTCGCCACCTGTGCTAGCGGCAGCGCTTTACAATTCACGTGTGATCTCGGTCCTCTCCTACGTCTCGCAGTTCCTCCTCCTCCCCACCTCTTTCCTGAGATCTGAACACGCCGCCCTGGCTGCTGTGTATGCCTCGCCTTTCTGCCGACTGCCCAGAGCTGACATGTTCAATCTCCACGCGTGGAACGGCCCTCGCTTCCAGAGCGCTCTAATTCAAAATTTGGCGTTATTGATGCGGGCCGCCATCGAGACCTTCCCGCGCTGGCTCGAATTTTACGCTGTGCTGAAGGATCGTGCCTCCCTCCATTTGCCTCTGGTCACCATTCTTAGAGGTAGGCTCTCCCCGAGTTTCTGGGTCTCGAGTTCGTTCGTTGAAATCCTGCGTGAGGCCTCCCTTGGTTTCCCGACGGTTCCTGAGTGGAGCCTTGGCGGCGCTGCTGCTCTCCGAGCTGCTGGTGCGGCTCTCGTCGACCCCAAAAAGCGCGTCCAGAAAGAAGTGGGCTCGGCCCTGGCTGCACAGTTATTCCCTGGCCGTCTTCATGAGACTTTTTTCCCGACGTTTAAAGAAATGGCTCCCCCGCAAGCATGCAGACACCGACGCAATAACTTGGGAAATGGCCCGCGTATCCTTGCAGAAGATGCCTCCGACGCAAGCCCGCGCTGCCATCAAAACGTTGGCCGGAGCTTGGTGCTGCAATTCGGCCTTCCAGAAGAATTCCCCATGTCTCCTCGGATGTTGTGGATCCAAAGATTCGATTTCCCATTATGTAGTATGTAATCGTTTTACAGATATTCTCGCCTTTATCCTCCATGCGGCTGCCCTCAGTGCTTGTCCCCTCACTCGTCTTGGGCTTCTTGATCCCACGCCTGTGTCCCTTGTCCCTCTGGCCGCCTCTGCCATTCTCTACCGCCATCTCGCAGCGTCGGCCAGCCCCGACGGAGTCAGCCAAACGGCTGCTTTCGGCATGGTGCCGCAAATTCGTGCTGCGCTACAACGCGTGGCAGCACCTCAGGCCGAGTGACGTGCAGGACTGACCCCCCAGGTACGAGCCAGGAGGAGGAGGAGGAGGAGAAGCAGGATGAAAAGGCGGGTCGGGAGAAGTGGGAGATGGAGCTTCAGATGATCGAGGGGGTGCTGCGCGGGAGTTGCCCCTGGGCGTGGCCAGACGCTCTACAAGGTTTCGGAGAAGTATCCTTTTCAACCATCGCACTGCCCTCCGAGTCTCATGCCTGCCTCTTTGCGTTTGAATGTGATTCTGCTACCTGTGGCCTGCGGGGCAGTCCCCTCGCCCCTCTGGCTGGGCATGGTTCGGATTGCTCTTGAGAAGATGTTGGTCGACTCCCTCTCTCCC